AAAAATAAATTGGAAAGAATCAGTCTACCCAATTTTAAGACTCTCTATACAAGTACAGGCAAAGGCAAAGGGTAGACACATAGATCAATGGAACAGAATAGAGAACCCAAAACAGACCCACACATGTGCAGACAACTGATTTTTACAAAAGTAAAACGCAATTCAGTGAAAGATGATCTTTTTTAACAAATGATAGGGAAAAGGTGATTTTTGCCTTAAATCTCACACTTTATTCAATTATTAACTCTAAATGAATAATGGATTTAAATGTAAAATATAAAACTATAAAACCTTTAGGAGAAAATATTGAGGGCCTAAGGTTTAGTGAAAAAAAATCTTAGACATGATATCAAAACACAATAAAAAAATTGAATTTCATCAAAGTTAAAAACTTTTGCTCTGTGAATGGCCCTTTTAAGATGATGGAAACATAAGCTACAGACTGGGAAAAAATAGTTGAAAGCCATATATCTTACAAATGACTCATATGTAGCATACATAAAGAATTAAAATCACCCAATGTTTAAAAAACAAACAATCCAATCAGAAAATGGAAGAAGACATAAAGAGATTTTTTACCAAACAGAACATACAGGTAACAAATGAGGAGGTCAGACTATTGGCACAAACATCAACTTGGATGGATCTCAAGGGTATTATGCTAAATGACAAAAAAAAAAAACCAATAAGATGCTTTGTAGGGTTTTATTTATATAACATTCCCAAAATGACAAAATTATAGAGTTAGAGAATAAATTAAATCATTTCCAGGGGCTAGGAAAGGCAGAGGAGAGGAGTAAGTATCACCACAGAAGGATACTGCTGGAATAGTTCTGGACCCTGATTGCAGTAGTGGATATAGGAGATTATATATGGGATAAATTGACATAGAACTATACACATGCTTTGTACCAATGTTAGTTTTCCAGCTCAGATATTGTACTATATGTATGTAAAATATAACCATTGGAGGTGTTAACCAATAAAGATCTGAGCATGTAAAATAATTTAAAAGTTTATTTGGAGTTTTAAAAAGATTCAAATCTGTGAGACACAGATTCAAGTAGCAACCCAAACTGCTCTCCAGAGAGAACAAAGGCAGGTTTTGTAAAGGCACAAACCATAAAGTGTAATTCTTTCATGCAAATGAAGAACTGCTGGCTAGGTTAACAGAGGTTGGTTAGTTTATATGTGCAAACGAGGAAGTAAAAACTACAAGGATGAGGTCAAGTCCATATGTGTCCACAGAGCAGTAGTTGTTCCAGGTTGTTTGTGAGTCAGCCTTGAGGAGAATTTAGCAACAGGTTTAGCAACTCAGCAGATCTGAGAATTGATGCATAAGATGTGCACTGGCCCCACTTCCTTAGTCGCCTCCTGACTCTATAGAAAGTGACTGTCTTAGCAATGCTTACTCCATTTCTTTTATTTCCATAATCAGGGGAAATGGTGAAGGATGCATAGGGACCTCGTACTACTTTTTAAAGATTTTTTAAGTATGTTTTATTAATTATGCTATTACAGTTGTCCCATTTTTTTCCTCCCCTTTATTCCTGTCTACTCTGCACCCCTCCCTCCCTCCAGCCTTCCCCCCCCCCCCCCCCCCCCGCTTAGTTCATGTCCAGGGGTCATACATATAAGTTCTTTGGCTTCTCCATTTCCTATACTATTCTTAACCTCCCCCTGTCTATTTTGTACCTACTATTTATGCTTCTTATTCCCTGTACCTTTTCCCCCCATTCTCCCCCCAACCCCTCCCTGCTGATAACCCCCCATGTGAATGCCATTTCTGTGATTCTGTTCCTAATACTATTTTTACAAATTTCTATGAGTCTTTAATTATTTCAGATAAAAAAATTTGTTAATATCGTTGATTTGTTAAGTATAAACATGTAATAGATGGAATTTTTGTAATCCTGTTTGGACACCCCCATGGTCTTATTATGCTAAAATCCTCTTAAGGCGGGAGTGGCCGGAGCCTCTCTGATGTCCGACCGCTGGGAGGTGAGAGAAGTGAACACACACACACCACCCTGACTCCAGCGGGTGCCTCACGGGATGCCAACTTAGAAACACCCAGGAGGGGTGCCGCCTCAGCCTCCCAAAACCTGGGGTAGGATCTGCAGGCACAGGGAGATGAGGGGCAAGACTCTACATGACCAGGACCTGGCCCCTGTTGTCACACACCTATGTGCACACGCACATACACACATCTCAGTGGCAGCTGCCACTATGGCTTTCCAATCACCTTGGCCATCTTTGCATCTGCGTCATTGGTTGCCAGTCTCTAATCTCTACAAACACCTTGTGGGATCACATTGCATGTCTGGCCCTCCCCTGAAGGAGCCCGTCTGGGAAGCGCTTTCACAGGAGGTAAAACCAGCCCTGGAGATGTTCCACACCAGGAGATGCTCTTGTTGCATTTCCTGGTATGTAACCGAGGTTTATAAAGAGCTGAAGGAGAAAGAGGAGACCACTATGTTATAACTATTTTAACCCATCTTTCCCTTGATAACCTACTTCCTGTTTGCCACTTCTCTCATTTTCTTTATTCCTCCCATCGTGATCTAAGAGTAAATCAGGACTAGGAAACTGTTTTTAAAGATTTAAACAAGAAACCTTACTACCTCCATAATTCCATGTTTACACATAAGCTATTTTGAGTTACAAATAGTCTGAAATGGGTGTAACTTCCTTCTTTATGTAATACTTACTGTAAAATGACCTCTCTTGTTGTTGAGAGGATGCATACATCTCATTCTGACGTATTCCTACACTTAGGGTATTTCCCCAAGACTTAAAAATTAAATTCTTCCAAATAATTATTAACTTTTTTTACATATTATTTCATCATCTCATTTATGATAACCTTAGGTCTGATCATTTTTCTTTTTTCATAAAAAATAGTCAAAAAGTTGCATTTTCCTGGGTTGATTAGCAAGCAGAGCTGCAACAAAGGCTTGTGTGCAGACACTTTATTAGGGAAGTGATTTCAGGGAGCAGGAGTGAGGGGCCAGGAGCACAAACCAGGGAAGGTGGGAAAGACAGGGCGAGGGTGTCACCTTGGCCGCTGTTACAGATGGGTGGTGCTCTGATCCAGTGGGACTTTCTGAGGGGCCTTATTCCATTTTTCAGAACCATGTGCCAGAAGCTGAAAGGAAACCATTTGTCTATGGAGTCCTGATCCCCACTGCTCCATGGGCACCCCATGGGTTGTACACATCACAGGTACAGGTATCAGAAGAGCCCCAGTACAATAATCAAGAGCTGTAAGGTGCAGGGCCCCAGAGTGAGCGCCTGTTGGGCACAGGATGCTGAGCAGCACTCAGTGACTGCCCCAGGGCTGGAAACGAACCGGGAGGGTTTGAGGTGGAGCTCGAGATGTGATCAACACAATTGTCAACCGAAGAAATTCTGCAACTTGGAAAGGAGTAACTCACTGCCCAATGGAATAACTATATTTCATTCTGTTGTCAGCCAATGATATTTGATGTCTCCTTACTGGTTTTGTATCTTTAATTTTCCCAGTGATGTCTCTGAAGGGTGAAGAGTGAAAATAAATTTTAACGGTTGGGATAACACCCCAAGTATGTTACATTGGCTTGCCAAGCTGCCTTCTGAGAGAGAAATAGTAAAATAAAATGTGAAAGAATTACAAATGAGAGAAACTCGCACTTGAACTGTTTTTACATCTATGTTTTGATAAATTCATATGCTCTAAAGCCATGTCATGTAAGATTTTATTTACAAGAAATAAGTGAGTATAGCAGAAGCTTCTTAAGAACTACTGAATGCTGTTTTAGATAAATTTTATATAAAATTTATATAAAAACAGTTATAGAAGCATAATTAACCTTAATTTATAGAGTTTATATAAAGGTTATATTAAATTATAATTAACAGGTTGACAATTAGGTAACTAATGCATTATTAATTAATCTATTAATAGCCAACTTGCTGTGTCTCAAAAACTGTTCCTCTGTTGTAAGGAATTAGTGTAAGATACACTAATTCCTCTGATCCTTCCCATGTCTCCAAAGTGGATACTACCAATTTCTCATTTTAAAGATAATGATACTGAGCCCTGGTTGGGTGGCTCAGTTAGTTGGAGCATCGTCTCATACCTACGCCAAAAGGTTATGGGTTTGATTCTGGTCAGGATGCGAACAGAAGGCAACCATTCCACATTTCTCCCTCACATTGATCTCTCTCTCTCTCCACTCGCCCCCCCCACCCCCTCCCTCCCTCCCTTTCTCTCTGTCTAAAATCAGTGAAAACACATGCTTAGGTAAGGATTTATTTTAAAACAAATACCAAGATGATAACACTGAGACACAAAGAGTCTCAGTAACTTACTCAAGATCACACTGTTGGTAACGGGTAAAACAAAAAAAATAGTACTATGCAGTCAATATCTTTGTTTAAACAAAAGTTTATGGCAGGTTAGAATAAATTAATGTGGTAGCTAAATACTCAAAATAGAGTCCACAATCACTCTCTCTTTGCAATGATCAAGATGATCCAAGTGAGGACATTTCAATAAACACATCACCCATCTCATTACAGGACATCAGCAACTTGATCAAATACATATTTTGCTTACAAGTGTTCGTCCTAGTGTTATAGAGAGAAAAAATAATATATTAGAATAAAAGAATAGAGAAGTGAGGGGAAAGCCAGGCAAACTGAGAAATTTTGGAACTATAAGTGTTCAATAAAGGTAATATCATTGCAAAACATGGGCATAGTTTAAAGCATCCACCAGTGTTTCGGTTTGTTAATGTATCTCTTTATCCAACAGAAGTTTTTATCAATGAACTTGTTAAATAAGACACATGATAATATAAATGACAATTTTTACTCTTTCCAAATTTTGTGGGGAATTCACCAGAAATTTAAAGTAACATCAGCCAACTACTGTTTCCTGGAGATAATTCTCATTAATTTTTCCATGCCTCAAGCATTCATATTTTGTTGGTATTTGTTTTATTATTATCTTTCAGTCATGGAAAAAACTACGGATACACTTCCTCTTACTATGATTTCTTCAGAAGAGCGAGAGACTGTATGTATTTTTGGAACTGGAGATTTTGGAAGATCGCTAGGACTTAAAATGATCCAGTGTGGTTACTCTATTGTTTTTGGAAGTCGAACCCCTCAGATGTCTAGTCTGCTGCCCAATGGTGCAGAGGTCTTGAGCTATTCCGAAGCGGCTCAGAAATCTGACACCATAATCATAGCCATCCACAGGGAACATTATGATTTTCTCACAGCACTGACTGAGGTTCTCCGCGGGAAAATATTGGTCGATGTCAGCAACAACCTCAAAGTTAATCAATACCCAGAATCCAACGCAGAGTACCTTGCTCAGCTGGTACCGGGAGCGCATGTAGTGAAAGCATTTAACACCCTCTCTGCCTGGGCTCTCCAGTCAGGGGCACTGGATGCAAGTAGGCAGGTAAGATTAAACAGTGAATTTACTTCTCTCAATGTTTAAAAAATGAATTTTTTTAAACATGTCTTCACCTCAAAGATTCCGAAATTTAATTCCAAAAGAAAATACCCACTAAATAGTCCATTCTGCTAATATGCGCCATGAATAGTTTTCTTGGACTTAACCAAATTAGGTGGCCAATTGTGATTTGTTTCCCACTGTCTGCAAAGCTCCTGGTTGGATGGACGCCAGTTTCTGGGGGCCTCTTGCTAGTACTAGAAAACAACACACCTAAAATTGTTGCTAGACATCCTTTCCACTCTCCTTTCCTTATATGAAACTAGTTCCATTTATCCTCTGAGATTGGAAGCAGTCCATAAGTGATGGAGCACCCACGAACACTGAAGAAACATCTAACTATTCACACTGTGGGAAACAACGTCTTGCCATATCAGTGTGATGTGCCTGAAACCATTCTCAACTTGAAAGCCTGGTACTTAACTAGCCAACACACATGAGCAAGTTTCAAACATCATCTCATTAAACATGTTGATTCACAGCCTTGTCTGAAAAGCAGTTCACTACTACATGTCCTTGTCCTAAGCAGTACTTATATAGACTTTTCAAAATAATTATTAAAGAAAAAATAAATACAAAATAATTATTTTTAATCCAGGTATTTATCTGCGGAAATAGTAGCAAAGCCAAGCAGAAAGTGATGGACATAGTTAACACTCTCGGACTGACTCCGTTGGATCAAGGAACTCTCAGGGCAGCCAAGGAAATTGAAAACTACCCCCTGCAACTGTTTCCAATGTGGAAGATGCCCTTCTACTTGTCTGCCTGTCTGTGTGTCTTCTTTTTTGTCTACTGTGTTATCAGAGAAGTAATCTACCCTTATGTTTATGAAAAGAAAGACATCACATTTCGCATGGCTATTTCCATTCCAAATCGTGTCTTTCCAGTAACGGCGCTGATACTACTCGCAGTGGTCTACCTCCCTGGTGTGATCGCTGCCATTCTGCAGCTGTACCGAGGTACCAAATACAGCCGATTCCCAGACTGGCTGGACCACTGGATGCTCTGCAGAAAGCAGCTTGGTTTGCTAGGACTGGGGTTTGCTTTCCTTCATGTCCTCTACACACTTGTGATTCCTATTCGTTATTACGTGCGATGGAGGTTGGGAAATCAAACCGCTACCCAGGTCAGTCTCTCCTCATTTGTACTCTCCTATTCCTTAAGTAAAAGAGAAAACTTGCTATATGATATTCCATTTTACAATTACAGAAAACCAGTCTTCTAAGCATCTTTATTTTTTAAAGTAATAGGATTAAATATCTCATGTCTAGTTTTTGTTTTTGAGTGAATCCACTTGAGAAAGAAAGTTAGATTCTCACGGTCCCTTGGGTCCCAACCTGTGTTCCCACAGACCTGGGATGCTGACAAACTGGCAGGGTTGAGAGCTCAGGAAACCTAGTGACACAGAGCCAAATTCCTTTGAGCACATTTAATAAATGTAAATGAATGCATTTTCAAGGTCCTGTTATTATGCATGCTACTTCCTTTTGGAAGTCAAAACCTAACCATCTTGTGAGGAAGGGGGCTGTTCCAACATGTGTCCCAAGAATGTAACTAAATTTACAAAACAGTGCTTATAATACCATTAGTATTTTGGCTTGTAGGATTGTCCTCAATTGTTTCATTTGCTAAGCAAATTGCAAATGCTGTTTTCTGCATAACCAAAGAATTCAGAAAGAATCAACTCAGGGAGTCTAAAAGCAGTCCCAGTGGACGTGGGATACATCAGCTCTCGTCAGGAAGTAATTGGTTTCGGCCAATCTTACTTCAGTCTCAAAGTCTATTAGTCAATAACTCATTGATGGTGCTTCTGTGGGTTTCTCTGCATTATTTCCCTAAAAAATGCATGGGAAATTTGGGGGTGAGAATCACATTAAAGGGGCCTGATTTCTCTCCATCTGTGGTGTGACAAACTAGATGCAGATTTACACATACTAGACATGAAAGAACCCAAACTTTTTGTGTGACTAATCAGCATATAAAGAAGAAGAGCAGAATCTTAATGTAATCATTTGAGAACAACAAGTTTTGCTTGGGAAACAAGAAACCATGTGGTAAAGATGGTTTAAGTAAATGTTTACCTTGTTTTAGGATTTATAGGGTCAATTAAATATCTCTATACAGCTCCTGGAGTCAACGATTACAATGAACTTCCAGCAGAACCAATTACTTTGTCTACCAACAAAATAATAATAATAATTTCTAAGTGTATTTTTCTTTACAATTATTTTCAAATGACTATTAAGAAATGTCATATAATTTACCTTGAGCAAATAAACCATGCAGAGGTATTTTCAATCCCTTTGAGAGTTTGGGCAGTTTTTAAAAAAATGTAATTTTTATAAATTGCTTATAATTTTCCACAGGCAATAACCAAGAAAGAAAATCCATTTAACACCTCGTATGCCTGGCTTAATGATTCATATTTGTCTCTGGGAATCCTTGGATTTTTCTTTTTTGTCCTCTTGGGAATTACTTCCTTGCCATCAGTTAGCAACACAGTCAACTGGAGAGAGTTCCGATTTGTCCAGGTAAAGACCTCAAGATTTAATCTATTTTAATCACAAAATGAGTGTTTCTTTCCAAATATCCTCATTTTTCTCTCATACCATGCATACATTTTCATTTCGCTACAGCACGTCCATAGCAGTCTCATAAAAACAGCAACTGAATCAAGTTCAAATTAGAAAATGTGAAACATTGGTACCCCAGGGCAGATTCCGTAAGCGTTTGATTCCTGGCAGGGCATCCAGGGTTCCTGGCTCTCCCAGAGCCACAGCCACAAGTATAAATTGAAAAGCACCAACAACTATTACGTTTTGTGGAGATGTACTTGGTACAAGGTGAAAAGAAACCCAAAGACAAAGTTTCTGCTTCCAAAAATCAACCTTAGATAGGGACACATTGATTTATAAAGCAATATATTGAAATGAAGTTTAAAACCTTAAAAATATGATATGCTAGACTATCATCCTACAAGAGTCAATGCTAGTCTGTAACAGGGAAAATTGTTTGTTTGTTTGTTTTCACGTATCAGCCACAGGGCACTTCATTAAAGGGGAATTTTAATTATTTTTTTTTTACTTTTAATTTATTACTTTTGGAGAAAACATTGATTTGTTGCACTTATTTAAGCATTCATTCATGATTCTTGTATATGCCCTGACCAAGGATCAAACCCACAGCCTTAGCGTGGATGAGGCTCTAAGCAACTGAGAGACCCAGCCAGGGCCTTAACTATTCTTATAAACCAGTGTCCTCAGAGTGGGTACCTGGGCCAGGGGCACCAGCACCACCTGGGATCTTGTTAGATACACAAATCCCCAGGCCCTCCCAGACCTAACGAATCACAAACTCTGGGACACGTGACCCAGCAATTTGTTTTAACAAGCCCTCCAGACTATTCTGATGCATGTTCATTGCGAATCAGTGTAATGGAATAAACCATGAGTAATTGATATTTGGTTTGAGTTTTATAGAACTATTTGAATTTCAGAAGTCTTACAGTTTCTTCCAGGGACCAAATGCAGTCAACAATTTCTCATGTCAAACACCTTTATTCAAGGTATTAAGAGAAAAATAAACATTGAGCTTTAGTATTTGGGCCAAAACAGATAAAAGTAAAGTTTACTAATTTCTCTGTATTGTGATAGAAATTAGCGTAGTATCCGGTTTTAGTCAGTAATGTATATTAATGTGGTACTTCTTGGGAACATACTGTGTCTTATTAATCTCTGACCTCCAGAAAAGGTAATCAAGAAAAGAGTTTTACCATTGACTAAGAAGGCAAGGCACCTTATTTATTCAAACTCAAAAGAGTTTACTCCTGGGAAATTTTCCCATTCAGCCAGGTTAAGGTGAAACCACCATGTCATTTGTAACACAATCTTTTTTTTTTTTAATAAAATATTTATCATCCTGAAGGAGGGTTGATGCTTTTTTCAGAACTTAGTAAAATATTCTAAATAAGATAGGTTTCAAAGATTTGTTGTTGTTGAAAAATATTCTTCATTGGCTTAGGGTGTTTTGCTTTAAAGTGTAAATAATGTTAATGTACATATTTTTGTTTCTTGCTTTTGTAGTCCAAACTGGGTTATTTGACGCTTATCTTGTGCACCGCTCATACCCTGATATATGGCGGAAAGAAATTCCTCAATCTTGGGAATCTCAGATGGTATCTTCCTTCAGCTCACATAATAGCACTCATTATTCCTTGCTCTGTGCTGGTGATCAAGTTCATCCTTATCCTACCCTGTATAGACAAGACCCTCACACGGATCCGACAGGGATGGGAAAGGAACTCGAAAATCTCAGAATCGGCAATGAATGGAAAAACAGACATTTAAAGCAATGTTCAATTCACCCAGAGTCTTAAGAGATGAACAAGGAGCTCAGTCAAGTAAGCATTTTCTCCCACCATGGCCTGAAGTTTGTGGACAGCGAAGAAAATGCTGCCTGACTTTTAGACCTTGAGAGATTGGAAGAGAAGAGCACTTTACCTTGCTTTAGTGATGGATGAGTGCAGGCCTCACCTGAAGATCCAGATTAGCCCGTGGCTTCGTACTCAGAAGCTTCTTGTCTTCGGCAACATGCATAACCTAATGTCTTGCAAATTCCAGGGGAAGTACGTGCAACTTCCCTCTCTGGTTCAAAGGCTGAGTGGAGTGAAAGAGAAAACAGTAAAATGTGGCCACTGATAAAGGCTTTAGTAGGTAGGTCTGAAGAGGAGAGCCAAAGGAAGTAAAAGGAATGAGTTTTGTTTTGTTTTTCTGGGACATGAAAGTGATCATAGATATTGTCATAACAACTTCTATAGTTAAATGTGCTCTTTGATTTTGCTTTTACTAATATCAGTGTGTATAGTGGGGAACATTTTATAACACAACAAAAATACTATGGTTGATTGGAAGTATGGGTCAGATACATGCAAATCTATACAGTGGTCCAACGGTCACTTCTCTACAAGAAAGGTTGAGTTAAAATCGAAGGATATGCACTTGGGTTTTCTCAATGTACAATGAGCAAGGAAAGCTTCATAAAAGCCCGTGCACAGAAATTCAAATAAACCAGAATTCTGTTCTAAATATGTTCATAATTTTAGACAATGAGCTAAATAAATGTTGTAAAGTTACACTAGATTAGGTTTGGTTTTATTTAGGTATTGTGGTACGCTTTGTAAATAATGTATTCCAAATATTATTCACTATTAATCATCTATGAAATGAATTTCTAGCATAAAAAAGTAGGTCCTATAATTTGTCTTAGCTCATTATAATTTTAAGCAGTGAAATTAAATGAATAATGAATGTGTAAGTGTGACAGATACGCAGATTAGAGAGAATTATGGAAAGTCTTAGGGCAGAGAGCGGTGTGAGCAGTTATTCCATGAGACTAGGTTCTTTCTCACGTCCTCACTGGAATGCAGGATGATTCTCCTGTTTTTCTGTGCTGGTAGATCCATTTCCAAGATGACCTTCACCAGGACTAGCCTTCCTGGCTCATACATGGAGCTAAAAGGAGTCTTATGCACAATCTTCTCACATCCTGAAAGAACAAAAAGACTTTGGGTTTGACATTTCTCACGTGCTCTTTCAAGACCAGTTATTTCTCTCTCTTTTTTTTTTTTTTACTTTCATCATATATTCTACATGACAGTATACCAAATAATTAAAAGGCATTAAAATATCACTCATAATCCAGGATATTTTTCTATAAAACTTTTTGAAAATAGTTCTAGTTATACTGTATACTCAACTTTATATCCTTTTTCACTTAATGTATCAGTGGCTTTGTTCTCTTAGTTACACAGTGTATGTATTTAATTTATAACTGCATAATATTATATTTAATGAACATTTACTAACTACTGCCCTAATTAAACATGAAGGTTATATGCTTTTGTTACTAAAACAAATAACATTTCAGAGAATACCTTAGCACTTGCAAGCCTTTTTCATATTTCAAATTATTTCCTCAGAATATTTACCAAGAATTGGGATTACAAAATTAAATAACTTTTAATAGCATTTGCTATATATATTGCCAAATTGAAAATGACCTTGTCAATATCATTGGTATTCGATAAGGGTGTTGCTTTCATCATACCTTTATAGATTTTGTTTTTGCTTCAATTTGTGCTGAGAAGATACACAGAACATATGATCCATCAACGTATCCTTGATCCACCCAGCAAGGATACAAAACGCTGGAAGACTCTGAGCAGAGCAATGGTGTGTAGTGCCGACCCTAGAGCGTGAAGGGGAAGGACAGGGAGAATGTCACTACTCATCTGCTCTATTTTATGCCAGACAGCCAAGTGTTCAAGCGTGGGAACCTGCCCTTTGGCTGGCAAATGGGTTAAGGACTATCTAGGCTGATATAAAAAAGTCTTCTGGGTTAACCATGCTCCTTTTTAGTAACAGAGTAATATGTTTTTACTGGGTCACAATTTATCCCTAAAAATAGAAAATAATAGGCCTAGGTAACAAAGCTTTCCTGGAAATGGACTCTACTTTTCTAACCTAGTAAAAAGGCTCTACCCGAAGGCTTAACAAAAGCTTTCCGTGAGGCTAGGAGTTAAAGAGCGCCCCCTGGTGGTTTTGACGTTACACTTCATTGCCAGGCCTGACCCTCGGCCTCAACCTCAAAGGCTCCAAGCTGCACAAGCTGAACAGAAAAGCCAGTTTCCTTTTCTTCCCTCCCCAACTTTCTCCCTCCCGAAACCATCAGACCAGTTTGGCTATCCTAACACAGCCAGCCTCTCCGGTTTACTGAAGGTGGAAAGAATGAGTTTGGAATAGATGGAAATGGTGAGCTGTATTCCTTTTAACAGATCCAAACTGTTCTACATGTAAAAAGACTAAATTTCTTCACTACTGGTGTGTTTCTTGTATTCTAGGAAAATTTTTATTAAGCTCATTGATCTTTTATTTTTATATGTTTTCCCCGTGTTGAAATATGACTGCTTTTGTAAATGTGTACTCATTAAATATTATTTTAAAAATATTTTTTAGTTTTGTTTAATTCTGGTTTTAGCTCATCAGCATTGCAAAGAAAGTGATGAAATGATTCTGACTCACATTAGTTCCAGCAACTGGAACTAAAAATACTTCCCTTCAGAAATAAGGAGAAAGAGAGGCCCTTACATGGGTTTCAAAGCACATTATCGGATTTGCAGCCTCATGCAGTGTTTGCTTGAGCTCAGTGCGGAGATGCATTCCAATATCCTGCGTGTTCAGCTGCCCAAACCGATGGGTATGAATATACTGCCCCTCACTGGACTTCCCTTCTTCCAGGTGGATGCCTCCCAGACAGGGCCAACACCTTAATGAGAGGACTGACTTCAGGTTGGGTTTTCATCTGCGGGACCAAATGTTAAACTCCGTGCACAACTGGACAGCTGCAGCCCTAATGGGTGTTATCATTCTTTCAAAAGCAAAATAAAAACTGATAAAGAGAGGCTGGTAAACCTAGCTTCAGCTAGAAGCAAACAGAAAAGCCCCTATCCAAAAGGCGCTTCAATTAGAAATGGCAAGTATTCATGGCTCAGGGATCATAGGAGAGCCAGGATACGAGGAGCGGACCTCCTCCCCCGTCAGGGTGGAGCGGCAGGCAGACCCTCAGTTCTGGTTCTGCGTCACCACAGCCCCCGCCCACACCGCCGCCGCCGGTCCCACACGCACACACCCAAGGTGTTCCAATGCAGTCCTGCTCTGCTGTGCACTGTGAGTTAGGGTACCAACGTAGAAAAATCCTCTGCTCTTCTAAAGATTTGTTCAGTAGAATTTAGGAAAGGGAATACGTTATTCTTCTGTGCATTACCGTTCATAAAGCTCATGACGAAGACCTGAACTCTCAGGTGAGAGGAAGTAAGAAAAAGACCCAAACAAGGGAGGAGAAGGCTCAAGGGTGAAAGGGAAAGGAGTGGGGGGTCAGAGGAAAGAGAAGTGTGGGCGAGCAGGGCAGAGCACCCCACCCAGACCCAAGCAGGACAGAGGCATCCAGTTCTTCATGTTTCCTGCTACAAGGGAACGTTGGAAAGCTTTTAAAGATGTTTATTGTACAAAATACTGTGAGCAAAGCCTGAGCTAAAAACTTGATATACATTATCTTGTTTAATCCTCATTAACAATCTTCTAAAGAACTGTTGACTAAAAAACTTAAGGCCAAAAGCTTTTCTAAAAGAAAGGATTTATTGAGCCATACAACTATGCTAGCCAGAAAAAAAAGACCCGGTCCCAGGGCATGAAGCCTAAACCACCAGTGGGAGGGTTGGGTGGGAAAGACAAACGGGTCACAGTCCTGGAGTTGATGGACCTTTTATACATCAAGTTTGGAGAAGAAAGATATAAGTTGTTTTGAAAGAATTTATGTTGACTACAGATGAGGCCAGTGGGAGAAGGAAAAGTGGGGCTAGTTCTAGGACAGGTTCATAGTCCATACAGAGGAAATGTTTCCCCTTTACACTGGCTGTGGAAACAAATTTAGAAAGTTCATGCGTAAGCAAGATGCAGAGGCACCTGGCAGTCAGCTGCTTGGCTATTCTCAAGGGACAAGCCACTTATAAATTAATTCAAAGCTTCATGGTACATTCAGGAATGTAAGCAATCTTTTGTTGGTTTTGACCTGCACTAGTTAACTGATTAACCTCTCTTGTCTCTTCCTCCCTCCATCAATCTGCTGAAATTTAACTTAGGACATCTCAGAATTTTTTCTTGTCAGTTTATCCTCTTGTTATCCCCATTTTTCAGAAGAAACTGGGCCTTGAAAACACTGAGTGCTTTGCTTCTAAGAGGCAGAGCTGCAATTTGAACCAAGGCCATTCCCTTTCAACAACACAGTATAATGAAGGACAGCGATGCTGTCCTCCCCGATGTCTCTTCGAATTCATATACTACAGCGGGAACTTTTTAAAAACATTTTTAAAGGAAGCTCATTAGCACTTTAACTGTTCCTGAGTACACTGTCCTTAACGCCCCACATTAGCCTGTCGTGGATGTGAATGCACCCTAAGTGTTGTGGTGACAGGGGACCTATAGTTTCAGCGTGGACTTCCACTCTGCTGTAACTGCCATTTTCACCTTCCCACTCCAGTCCAGCCACAAGCTCGCCTAAGCATCAAAGAGAGCTTTGTTCCTTCAGGTGGATGTAGGGAACGCTCTATAACCGGAGGGCTCAAAGTATTAGCCACAGGGATACAGATCCTCTCCTGGCACTGAAAGGCAAATGCTTTCCTTCTCTGGTTTCAGCTTAGTGCTTTGTGGTCTAAGTCAACATATTGGTTCTTGAGATTCAGTGGTGTGCCCAGGAAACCTCATAATACCTGTCATTTAGTATTTTAACACTAGTTGAGAAAACAGTGATAAAAAAGATGATTCATTCCCATTACCTATAGTTGCCAGTTTCTGTTTTGTAAATATTTACAAATACTTGTTGAAATGGAACTCGCAGTCTATCAAAAACTATCAGAACAGGATCAACTAAAATTAAACTGTCCGCTATGATTTTTAGAGAGACAACTGGTTTTTAAGGAGCACAACCATTAAATTACATTTGACTCCTGAAATGTGTTGGTCCACTTACGTGCAGACTTACAATAAATACTGTAAATGTATTTTTTGTTTCTTAAAATTTTTGTAATAACATTTTCTTTTTCTCTAGCTTACTTTATTATAAATCTACAGTATAACAAAATTTGTGTTATTTGACTGCAAATGTTATTGGTAAAGCTTCTGGTCAACAGTATGTTCTTAGTGCTTAAGTTTTGGGGGGGAAGTCAAAAGTTAAACACAATTTTCAAATACTTGGGGAATGGCACCCCTAACTCCCACATTGTTCAACAGGCAACTGTAGTTTCATTTTTTACTAATATTGTCTTTCATAGAAGAAAAAGGAATAACTAGAGAAAGCAAATCCATGAGAACACTTGGGGAAAAGGAAAGACTACTTTAAAAGTTTGTTTGTTTTTTTTCAGAGAGAGAGAAAAGAATGAGAGAGTTAGTGTCACCAAGGCCATAGGCCCTCGCTGGTGAAACCTTGTGTACCTACAGTTCCATTCCAGTTACAGGAAAAACACAAAAGAAGGAAGGAGTCTACAATAAAAAACCAACAAACAAAATGTCCAGAGCCAACGATGGCAACCATGAACCTCATTACACCCTGATTACAAAACAGTAGGTAACTGACTGACACACCCACAGGCGCCATGACAGATCGGCCTGGGAGCATATAAGGGAAGAAAGGGGGGGCCCAATTCTGGGAATAGAATTAGGCCCATTCTCTGAAAACAGATGTATATGCTTCCCCTCATTATGTTGTCCCCATAATAATCTCCCCGAGATTTCTCTAGGATGAAAAGCTGATTTGTGAGTGTAGCTTCCACTTCCCCATTGTCGTTCTCTGGCCACGGAATAAAGCTTGTGCTGCTCACCACTCAGCTTCCGTTTGGCTTTTTGGCTCCATGACAACAGACAGAGAAAGAACCTCTGGAAGGACGGAGGGTCTTCCTGGGACCAGGTCCCCTCCGTGGGGGCACGGACAACCTAAGTTGGTAAGTAACATCACTGTTCACATTTCATTAAGGCAGAGTAGTAAAATCTGTGAAAATGGCAGAGATCTGCCACCAAATGATTCTTGATCTTCTCAACAGCTAGCCAGCCAAGCAGACTCACCGCTTCTCATGGTAAGCGTGCACTGCCTGCCACCAACAGGAAACCTCTTCCATTTTTAGTCACCCTGGGCAATTAGGAAATCCTCTTATACCTAACCAAGTTTTTCCTGGTTGTATGTACACCCATCGTTCTTGGTGCCACCATTTAAAGGAGAGCCTCTGCCACTCACTATCCAAGATAAAGACCAACTTTTTTTTGTTCTTTTCCCCATTGATTGCAGACTACTGTGTGTGTATAAAATACAAAACCACACACTTAAATATTATGACAACACCAAACTGCTGTAAGAGTTTCTCAACTTTGAAGCTCAGTTTCTGAATTTATCAGGCTGGTGACAAACAGGGCACATGCAGCACCATCCGCCCCCCGCAGTCGGAGGAGCGCTCCCAGGGCGGCCCGCCGGCCTGGCTCGGCCGGGGTTCCTGCAGAAGCCGACCCTGAGGCAAGGATTCTAGTGCAAAGTTTACTATGGAAATGAAATGATTAAGTATGGGGGATGGAATGGGAAAATAAACAGAGTGGGAAAGGAATAAAATGGAAGTTTTCATGCCAGTGGCCACTGCGGGCCCTACTCCCCTGGGAAACTCCAAAAGGCAGGGTCAAATATACCCCAGAGCTGTCTCCTTTGATGGGGGGAGACAGGGGTTTTATGCACCAAATCCTTGGTTTTTTATTGGATGGTAGAAGCTTCCAGGACATTAGCTTTCTGGGTCCTCTGACTTTTCCTGGCAACAAGCGCCACCATAGCCAGGAAAAAGAGTCTGCGGGCAAAGTGTTAGAGGTGTTCACACATGGTGCTTTCTGCTTATAGAGGTGACTGTCAACAGGATGAGCGCGCAGCGCTGACAACTGCTGCACAATCCAATGGAAAGCTGTGTCCAGAGTATGAACAGACAATTCACAGCGGGGAAGAGGGTCTTCAACATATAAAAGATATTTGATTTATGAAGAGATGCACTAAAACTGAAACTGCACTGGGATGCCATTTCTCACCTAAATAGATGGGCAAAATTCTAAGGGTTGGAGCACCCAGTCCGGGCGAGGCCATGGACACAGGCATTCTCGCACACTGCTCCTGGGTGCACACAAATGGAACCATGTCTATGGAGAGCAATTAGGCAACATTTTTCAAAATTAAAAATGAGCATGTGTAGGTAAGTCTCGACCCAAGGGCCCTGTTCCTGAGAATGTATCCTATAGCTATGCCTGCAAACATATTCGAGATGAAAAATAAACATTGTTATTCATTTTTCTTTTTTTTTTCTTGTGAAAGACAACATCATAAAAAAGAACAGGGGCAAGAACTCAAGCGTTCATCGTTGGGACT